TGTCTTACCGTGTGTGTCTCCATGTCTCACCGTGTCTCACCGCGTGTGTCTCCGCGTGTGTCTCCGTGTCTCCGCAGTCTTTGCGTGTCTGGGTTTCCTGTCCCCGGCTAACCGCGGCGCTCTCATGACATGTCTCACCGTGTCTCACCCTGTCTCACCTTGTGTGTCTCCGTGTCTCACCGTGTCTCACCTTGTGTGTCTCCGTGTCTCACCGTGTCTCACCGCATGTGTCTCCGCGTATGTCTCCGTGTCTCCGCAGTCTTTGCGTGTATGTCTCACCGTGTCTCACCGTGTCTCACCGTGTCTCACCGTGTCTCTGTGTGTGTCTCCGCAGTCTTTGCGTGTCTCACCGTGTGTGTCTAACCGTGTGTGTCTCACCGTGTGTGTCTCACCGTGTGTGTCTCACCGTGTGTGTCTCACTGTGTCTCCGTGTCTCCGCAGTCTTTGCGTGTCTGGGTTTCCTGTCCCCGGTTAACCGCGGCGCTCTCATGACGTGTCTCACCGTGTGTGTCTCACCGTGTGTGTCTCACCGTGTGTGTCTCCGTGTCTCTGTGTGTGTCTCACCGTGTGTGTCACCGAGTGTGTCTCTGTGTGTGTCTCCGCAGTCTTTGCGTGTATGGGCTTCCTGTCCCCGGCGAACCGTGGCGCTCTCATGACGTGTCTCACCGTGTGTCACCGTGTGTCACCGTGTCTCACCGTGTCTCACCGTGTGTGTCTCTGTGTGTCTCTGTGTGTGTCTCTGTGTGTCTCTGTGTGTGTCTCCGCAGTCTTTGCGTGTCTGGGCTTCCTGTCCCCGGCTAACCGCGGCGCTCTCATGACGTGTCTCACCGTGTCTCACCGTGTGTGTCTCACCGTGTGTGTCTCACCGTGTGTCTCACCGTGTCTCACCGTGTGTGTCTCACCGTGTCTCACCGTGTCTCTGTGTGTGTCTCTGTGTGTCTCCGCAGTCTTTGCGTGTCTGGGCTTCCTGTCCCCGGCTAACCGCGGCGCTCTCATGACCTGTCTCACCGTGTCTCACCGTGTCTTACCGTGTCTCACCGTGTCTTACCGTGTCTCACCGTGTCTCACCGTGTCTCTGTGTGTGTCTCTGTGTGTCTCCGCAGTCTTTGCGTGTCTGGGCTTCCTGTCCCCGGCTAACCGCGGCGCTCTCATGACCTGTCTCACCGTGTCTCACCGTGTCTTACCGTGTCTCACCGTGTCTTACCGTGTCTCACCGTGTCTCACCGTGTCTCTGTGTGTGTCTCTGTGTGTCTCCGCAGTCTTTGCGTGTCTGGGCTTCCTGTCCCCGGCGAACCGCGGCGCTCTCATGACGTGCCTCACCGTGTCTCACCGTGTGTGTCTCACCGTGTGTGTCTCACCGTGTCTCACCGTGTCTCTGTGTGTGTCTCTGTGTGTCTCCGCAGTCTTTGCGTGTCTGGGCTTCCTGTCCCCGGCGAACCGCGGCGCTCTCATGACGTGTCTCACCGTGTCTCACCATGTGTGTCTCACCGTGTGTCTCACCGTGTCTCACCGTGTGTGTCTCACCGTGTCTCACCGTGTCTCTGTGTGTGTCTCCGCAGTCTTTGCGTGTCTGGGCTTCCTGTCCCCGGCGAACCGCGGCGCTCTCATGACGTGTCTCACCGTGTCTCACCGTGTGTGTCTCACCGTGTGTGTCTCACCGTGTGTCTCACCGTGTCTCACCGTGTGTGTCTCACCGTGTCTCACCGTGTCTCTGTGTGTGTCTCTGTGTGTCTCCGCAGTCTTTGCGTGTCTGGGCTTCCTGTCCCCGGCGAACCGCGGCGCTCTCATGACGTGTCTCACCGTGTCTCACCGTGTGTGTCTCACCGTGTGTGTCTCACCGTGTGTCTCACCGTGTCTCACCGTGTGTGTCTCACCGTGTCTCACCGTGTCTCTGTGTGTGTCTCTGTGTGTCTCCGCAGTCTTTGCGTGTCTGGGCTTCCTGTCCCCGGCGAACCGCGGCGCTCTCATGACGTGTCTCACCGTGTCTCACCGTGTGTGTCTCACCGTGTGTGTCTCACCGTGTGTCTCACCGTGTCTCACCGTGTGTGTCTCACCGTGTCTCACCGTGTCTCTGTGTGTGTCTCTGTGTGTCTCCGCAGTCTTTGCGTGTCTGGGCTTCCTGTCCCCGGCGAACCGCGGCGCTCTCATGACGTGTCTCACCGTGTCTCACCGTGTGTGTCTCACCGTGTGTCTCACCGTGTCTCACCGTGTGTGTCTCACCGTGTCTCACCGTGTCTCTGTGTGTGTCTCTGTGTGTCTCCGCAGTCTTTGCGTGTCTGGGCTTCCTGTCCCCGGCGAACCGCGGCGCTCTCATGACGTGTCTCACCGTGTCTCACCGTGTGTGTCTCACCGTGTGTGTCTCACCGTGTGTGTCTCACCGTGTCTCACCGTGTGTGTCTCACCGTGTCTCACCGTGTCTCTGTGTGTGTCTCTGTGTGTCTCCGCAGTCTTTGCGTGTCTGGGCTTCCTGTCCCCGGCGAACCGCGGCGCTCTCATGACG